GAAATCAAGCAAAATAGGCAATAACGAGAGTCTCGACCGGTGTGGTGGATAAAACGCGAGCCTCCAGAAAGGTTAATCTCGAGTTTTAAGCTCATCACAGCTCCGAGTATTGCTCATATCTCAGCATGCCAGTGGTTGCGTTTCACAAAATCTGAAAAAGAATAGATTCTACGCATAGTCCGACAACGACATTCCACAGAGACAATTTTTGAAGAGAATTTGCACCAAATAATTGTCTGTTTCAATCAAAGCACTACGGCTGTTAAAAATCTTATATATATAAAAATATAAATATATATATAAATATGCATATCAACGGAACTCTCTCATATGAAGGATCTCGAACCAGCTCTTCGTAAGGCCACGTGGCGCACCCGCAAATTGCGGATAGGGGTTAACGGCAAACCAAAAACAACCTTTGCTTCCCTGAAATGCAAGTGGATCCAGGCGATGGGCCCCTGTTTTTGCTGCGCCAATTCGGCACATACATTCCGTATTTGCTAGGCACATGCATACATTCGTGCCTGGTTTCGTTCTCGCCTAAGCGGATGGTATTCTACTAGTCAATTCGGCCAAAAGCCTACAACCAGGTAACCAAGAAGTATATGGGAGATGGTTAGAAGTCGCTTTCAACGAGTAGGCTCCATGTCTTCTTTCGAAGAACGTGGCATGCTACCCTTGAGTATACCCAGCCTTCACGTTCAGGGCTCAGCAAGCTATACGTGGGTATCAAAATACTATACATAGTAAAAGAAACAGGCCTCAAACCCTGACACCGAAACAGTCCCCAGTTTCGCAGCGTAGAGCAGGACGAGTACCGAGAAGCTGCTAAAATCTTAGTGCCAATAGAAGCTGCAAATCTTCCTGGATTCCAAAAAACAATGATGACAATCTGTACCTACAATGCACGTACACTTGCATCCGAGTCCTCGATAGAAAAGTTACTTATGCGAGCAAAAAGGATAAGGTACGACGTCATCGACCTGGCCGAGACGAGAAGACGCGAGCCTCTCAGCGCCGTCTGTGACACATGACACTGAATGCATGGCAAATACGATGTTTTTTCTCTATTGGTTTAGATTATCCGAGTGCGTACACTCTCGTATTCAAAGCGCAATGAAAGTAGAGTGGCGGAATTGTTTGTTTCTCAGCGATTCGATTTAAACGATAGGAAACTGCTTATTCAGCTTCATTCATCGTTCATAAAATTTTCGACATGCAGCTGATGGCGCTGTTGGTGCTTTCGATTTGTTAACGTCGAAACAGAAAAGTGAGTTATTTTCGTTCCCAAAGTTGGAAAGTCGCTAATACTTTGGGAATAAGTAAACTCTTAAGATTCGCACACTACTTCGATTGCTACTGCAATCCAACTCGCATAGTGAAAGAATCGTTTTCCATTACTACTTTTGACACTGTTGAGGTGCTGGTGTGGGTAAACAGTCGTTTAAAATACACACCGAACCAATTCCTGAGCACCTCCTTTTCTACTAGAATCAAGGAAAATCCGCTTTGAAAACCATTGCCGGTTAAAAATTTATAGTAATACAAAAACTGAAATACCAAATGAATAATGAGTGTGCCACCTCTAAACGAAGGGGAGATTTCGAACTTTCCTGGTGATCATTTTACGAAATTTTGAAGAAATAAGTAAATCAATGTTGATTTTGCAGCCGCCACACAAATGTTCAATGCCATATTGTACGTGTTGGGAGAAACCAAATCGATGGAGCAAAGCGCAATAGTTACCACGCTCTCGGTTGAGGTTTGGATAAATACTTAAATCTTTTAAAAGAAGCGTTAGGCATTCAAACAGTGATCTCAGCGAAGCAGAGACCACCTGGATTACTCTTTTATCCTCTTCTATAAAAATAAACACCGGGTGGCCTTGTTCGCACACTTCCTGTTCTTGTTCTTTTTCTGAAGTACTCTATAATTTTTTATAACAAGAATCAAGTTTCCGTTTCGACTGCGCGTTCAATAACACTGGGTGGTCCCTCGTCTTGCTCATGTAGCAGAAAGGTTGCTGGCGCGTACGGTAAGGCAGGAGGAATTGTGGAATAGAGAAAATGAGTACGGGTCGAGTGTTTTTTGTTCTCTAATTTCTGTTCTTAGATTTTCACTGATATATTCGAGCAGCGTTAAACCTTGACAATCTTCGACTACTAGTGAAGAACCATTCGTCTAAAGAACTGTTTTCCAGAACAGTTTTTTATTCCATCCTTGTGGAGTCTTGAATAAAAGGATTTTAACAGAAAGCAAAAGTTAATGCCATCATCTACCGCGCAATGGATGAATGCCCAGCACTTGTTCATCTTTTTTCTTAAATGATTTGAATGCACGGAATGACTGTTTTTCCTGAATCTGGTAGTTCTAAACATAATTGCCGTTCCAATTTAAACCAAGATTTCCTTCATACTTTAGTCAGAAACTTTTCTTCAAACCCAAGCTAAAATTATGCAACTCAAAAGCTACCTTTCGTAGATAGGCTGCAGCAATGCGCACAACAACGTTCTAGAACGATCCCGCTCTTAACTGATATGAAATAGGTTTTTAAGGCGATAAAACATGTGTTGCTCTTCTTTGCCTTAAGATAATCTTTTTCACTGTTTACTAAAATTAACAGTGAGGCGTGAAACAAGCGTTTCTGAAGGAAATTTGTAAAATATGCTTCTGGGAAAGGTTTCAAAATTCCCTTCGGCTTCGGAAAACTCTGAAAGCCACCGTACCTGGTTTTGCAATAAGGAAGCATTGGCAAGCGAAGGGTTACTTTTTAATATCTCCAACCTTTAGAATTGCAACGGATCTTTCTTCGCAGTGAATACGAGTATATCTCTTGGGCGATGCATGTGGACCACTTCTAACCGAAATTTTCATAGTAAGACGTTCCGTAGTAAGAGCCTTATCGGTAGATGTCACTTCAACCTTTACTTTTACCGGAAGCAACGCTACGTGAAAAAATGAGTGAGCACCCCAGTCAAAAGGAAGAGTGCCAAAAATCGGTGCTGAGATGTTCGTTACCCCGAAAAAAATAAAGCGGTAAGTTGATTGGTTTTGCTTCATTAAGTTCACCATCTGATAGCTAAAAACCTTCTAAAGAAATTTGGTTCGCTAGCGTGATCACAATGTTGCTGAGATATTTCCAAAACTCCAGACCGCAGCTGCCTTCGGTGGGAAACGAGTACCCTGTTACCCTTTCCGGGGTAAACGTGTTTACCACCACACCGTGCCGACTTGTTGGATTCTCTGATTACGTACGGTATCTTGTTGAAAGTGCAAGAATAATGTTGTGGCAAAACTGCCCATCTATGAGGAACTCAACTAAAGTCACACGGAACTGCTATGACAAGGAACTATTACAGTAGAGAACTGCCGAAACACGGAACTACTTGCTAAGCTAAGCGTTTTTTAAATTATCGTCATAGGATTTATGGCGATGACAGTGCTTTGATTTTTAACCAGCGAAGAAAAAAAACAGTCTATAAATACTTTAGATTCTTAAGCTAACACGATGTTGAGGACGTTAATTCGGCAAATAATTCAACGTATTCGTCTTGAGCAGAGCCGAATAAGCATGCATATCGTCTGCATATTAGTATAACAACCCAAGACTATTGAAAGCCTGATTTATTGAGACGTATTGTGATGTAAAGTCGATGTGAAAACAATTTGGTTACAATAGCGGTGGATTCCTGCTAACACATTAGTAACGAGTGGAATGCTCAGCTTCACACAGTGCGTTTGATTCACAGGGGGTCCAGCCACCAGGAAGTTGCTCTATGCCCGATGTCAAGCCACCGTATGCTGCACGGTACTTTTGTTAACTGTAGCGCTCTACTCCGCTACGCTATTCAACTACAATCCGATAGCGATGACACTGGAATCGCATTGAATCCTGTTTGCTAATTAGAAATCTTCCGAGCACTGCAATTGTTTCACAGAAAATTTTGTAGAAAAGAAATTCAAGGTTTTCAGATGAGCTTTTCCCAATGTGTACAGAAATGAATCAATAAAGTGTTTGCAATCATTTAACAAGTGGAATAAGACTTGATCTCATGGAATGAACAGCAACAAAATTTGTTTTGTCTGCACATTGTGGGGAAATTACGAAGAAATTGGCGCCATTCTATAAACATCTACCTTTCATAGAAACGAGGAACGTTGAAAAAGGTGACGAGAGAAGCCACAGCACAGTGCCATCTCATTCGCTTTCTTCACAACCTCCATTTTCGCTTTTCATTTTACTAGCCATGGTAACAAAGTTAAGCGATCTTGTTCCTCAAAAACCTCATTGTCCTACATTGCTGTTTTTCAAGTGGCTGGTTCTGATGCGATTTCTTTTTGCCTCTCTCATAACCTTGGATTCTTGGCGCTATCTAACTCTGTGCCGCTTTCAGCATCGTTGAGAAAAATTTTGTAAAACTTCCTCTTCTGGCTATCAGTCCAACTCTGCATCAACAACAAAGGCTATTTCATCGTGGTACCTCGGTTTTGTCACAAGATAAACCGTTTGACAAACCTTTCTGAAGAGTGCACTTCTAGCGTCGGCGTTTCGTCCAATGTGAATTTATTTGTGGGAAACCGACGATTTTATGTCGAAGCAATACAGATGAAACAAGGCCAGCCCAATTTAAGCCGTGGCACCTGAGCTATTCTCCCATCCATGGCATTTTTTTTAAAGTAGTCGCTTTCTCGTTTCTCGATCCCATTCAAAATTCGACATAAATTCCATTACAATAATCGAATCCCATCGGCTTTCTATTAGCAGAATCTGTCACAAACGCTAATTTCGCTCCGAAGAGTTTCACTTAAGCTTAAAAACCCTGGGGACACCTTATGCTCTCAGAAAAGCAGAACTGCAAAAATGTCTGCCAAGTTGGCGTCATCGTTTTAGAAGTGCTGATTTCCAAATACTTGCTGCCTTCTGAACGATGTTATGCAGAAAATGTAAACTTTGTTTTCAGTTATGCCTACAGTAGTTGCCTAAGCTTTTAGGAGAAACAATGGATAGTGTTACCTTCGTGGTTCGGCTTCCGGCGCTTCTCATTTCGTTCCTACTCACAGTCTCGACAGTGTTGGGATGTGGAGTGACACCACTAGGGCAAAGTAATGAGTATAAGATTGTTATACTAGTGAAAAAAGCTGCAATTTTAAATAAAACGTTTGAACCTTGTTTAGAGTTAGACCTAGAGACAGATAAATTTATTTGCAGCGACAACCCGAAGGTTTACTGTAAACATGTTCAATTTGCCAACACGACTGGCCTACAGTGCCGCAATAGGCGTAAGAGCACAAGTTCCTTCTATGTCCGAAAACGAGCAGGCGGCCAGAGCTTTGATACAAAACCTTGTGGATGATTCGGTGAGAGACACACTACTGTGGACTTAAAAAACCTCGAATTCACAATCAATGAAAATTTCAAGCAATCCTACTCTATACGAGATCACCTCCACAGCGTGGTTTCTGTTCAGGTTAGGGAAGTTTTGGAAGAAAACGGACGCCGAGCTCTTTTACCAGATTTCGTGACAGCAGCGATTTTAGACCAAATACAGGTGCAAATCAACTACCAACCACTTGGATGCGCAACGGTTTCGGTTAATGCAATGCCGAACGTGGAACTAGCAGGTCAATTTACTAATCGTTTCTTTTTTGGTGTCAAATTGATATCACATGGTTCTCAACCATTTGTAAAGCAAAACGTTATGTCTTTATTTATGAGCGTTCCTTAAAACAAATGAAAGATTGCAAATAGGAAGCCAATCAGTTACCTAGTCTTCCCTGATTACTCACTTAAAATATAACCTGGACTAATTTGACAGCGTAAAGTGCTGTTATGAACAAATTATTCGAGAAACCATTGGTTTCCAACTAACTTTGCAATTTTGAAAGTTGAAATCTTTGCAGCCGCAGCGAATATGGCGAGAGAGAGTTGCTTCGTCACCGGAGATATAGTGAGCGCAATATGTCCCCTCATGAACAACATGGTTCAAAATTGCCAGCTTGTGGGAGGAGCAATGCAAGCAATAGCGGTGCCTGACCAACATTTGACTATCACTGGAACGATCACGGTTAGAAAAAAGTTTTAACATGTTGATTTGAAGCAACCCACAGCTCGGAATCATGGATGTTTTTAGATTAGAAACACAGTCCTGTCTACTTGGACCACACAGCAGTGGCAGTCTGTCCTGAACAGAGTTCTTCGTCTTCTAACACCCCGTTTGGGAACGGCTTTTTCCTTTGCAACTGTCACTGTTGCTTGAAATGCAGCCGGAAAGATATCGAAAGTCTTCATCTTTTGTTGGTGTGAAACCTTTTTGTGGCATTCTTTGTAGGCTTTACAGCATTCTTTCTTCCGATCTTGCTGGGTTTTACTAAGCAGTGGTGTTAATGGAGGTTCTAAAACGACATTGTGGGTTTCACCAATAGATTATTTCTCGTAGAATAAATTTACGCTCTCAATTCTTCTTGAAATTAAATTTAAAAAAAATTGAAATTGAAATTGGGTCTACGAATCTATTAGAATCCTTTTGGATAATCAGTCAAATTTAAAGAATTAGTCCAAAAAGGAAGTATTCACTCGAAATCTTGCACCCTCCGTAGTCGATGAATCACATCAACAACAGCTGGCACCTCTGGCAGTAATCCCTACTACTCTTTATTAACCTCGGAATTGGTCAAATAGTTCTCGGTATTTTTGTTGAGCAAACACATGGTGTTAATTTATTATTCATTCTGCGAATGCCGATGTTTCGGCAGAATCGCCTTCCTCAGAGCACGGCAGGGCATATTGATGGGGAATCCACAAAGTCAAACGCTCCAAATATAGAGAGTGATAAAAATCGAAAACGCAATTACACGATCAACTGCTTCTTAGAAAAACCCACCTTTCATTACGTGCCTTCCATTGAGGAAGAACAGCTGACCAGAGTCGTATATGGTCGATGAATGCTCCACCCCACATCAAAAGTCGATGCGAAGGCACGGGGCGAGATCGAGAGTGATCTGCGGGTGTTTCTCGCCACTAATCCTTTTAGTGTTCTTAGTATTTATCCAAAAAGCTTCTAGAACTTTGTTCGTTGGCGTTTTGGCATCTCCTGCTATGTCCCTCTATCCTGCGCGTCCCAAGTAGGGTATTCGGTCTAGAGTCTAGCTCACCGTTTGCGATTTTGGTGTTTTTTTACACGTATACTTAAAGGTCTGCTTTCGCCAATATATTCAACTCTGAAAGTATTACAACAAGCCAGGTATATCGCTCTTGAACTCATAAAGTCACCGTCCCTGCGGTAAGGGCAAATGAGGCAGCTTTGTGCTCTGCATAGACGTTCATAAAGGCGGTTACGAACTCAGCTAACCCTACCGATCCTTCAACGCTTTTCCTGCTTAAGCATCGTTCTATAGCTAAACTTATTTCATCGCTAATGAAAGGCTACGTAGACGTCTTTTGCTTCTGGTCGAGTAACTTGTTTTGGAACGTCGCTGCCCTTCTAAACTTATCTGGTGGAGTTACAGTTTCATAGCCGTTGGAGATGGCTATTTGCAGAGCTACGTTGCGCAATTCGTCGTGTAGTTCCCTCTCCGTGCAAACTGTGGTGGCTGTTCGAAGCATGTTTGTTTAAAGCGGCTTCTTTGTGTATGAAGAGTGAGAGGAAAGCAAATGAACAAGGCTGTTCTTGTTTCTTGGTTTTCGGTATCATTTTGCCATGTAACCGTTATATGATAAGTTAGTTTGAACGCTAAGAAATGGAAGCCAAATTTCTTTTGCTTTCTCGCGGATGAATTCGATCTACTCAGACTGCAGATTCGACAATTCAAAGTATTTTACCTCAGTAGAAAAGATGACAAAACAGTCATCTATATAGCTACAGTAGAGTACTGGCTGAGGATCAAGAACCGCGGCTTCTATTTTAGATATAAATGCAAGGCAAGACATTGTGCCAGACGCTCTTCCGTTGCCAGTCCTCTGATTTGCGCGTAGTACTTTCAGGCCATTTAAAAATCGACCTGTTCGGGTACTCTTCTAGGAGGGCAATGAGCTACTAAGTAGAAAAGCCATACATATTTATTTCTCCTTCATGTTCAACAAGAAATTCGAGGATGACTTGCATTGCGGAGTCTTTCGACACTTTGGTGTGCCGCGAGGAAACGTCGAATGACTCCATCACGTACGCGTTGTTAGAGGACGCGTTACGTAGACGTTCTAGAAACATTTGGGTGTGCGTGATGTGAGCTGGCATATGGAAATAGTTGGGTAAGTGTTTGGCCTAGAACCCATATTATTCTAATAAGAATATCGAAATAGCAGTAGAAAAAGATCCAAGGTAAACCATCTCTTGAAACAGCGGCGCCGGTGCTCTATTTTTGTAACAGAATAGTAATCTAGTAGTAATCTAGTAATCTTCCCGCAACCTTAGAAGGCGTTATCTAGCCATGGACAAGGTCGTCCAAGTGTATCGACGGAACAAATCTCGCTGCCATCACGGAAAAGGCTTACCAGAGGAAAGGAGTTTATAGTCGAAAATAATGAACACCCTTCCAACAGTCAACAATCAACAATGTTTCGTAATTATGGGCTCATAGTGAATCCCCACGGCTACATGGCAGTTCCAGGTAAAGAGGAGAAGAACGGCAACACAATAGCATTCTAAGGAAAGAGGAAAAACACAGAATAACTTAAATAACTATTACGGAATCCAAGCCACGCTTAGCTTTTATTTGAAAAAATTGTTTCAAATGAGCAGCTGGACCCAGTAATTCCCGAATCAATGTGAGCCATTTCTTATAGGGAACTTGAAAGGCGTAGTAGGAAATTTGAGGCGCTTGGTATTTTTTTAAAGCACTGAATTCCACAACCGTTTCACTCATTAGAAAGGAAAACCAAGAATAATTTTAACTCGACAAGAAAAGCTGGACGAAATTCGTTTCTACTTCTAGTTTTGATCAACGTTCGTCATTTGAAGAAGTTCTAAAGCAGGTGAGCCAACGCCTGAAGAGTTAATATGGTACTGGAAGAAAAAGCCTGGAAATAGCTTTCAATAGAGGACAGTCTGAAAAAAGATTCTTGATTCTATTATTCATTATTAGTAAAATTTATGCGTCCGTCTTGCTGAAAAAGACACAGGCACAGTGAAATGTAGAAATCCATTTTTTGCAGAAAGGAGAAAAAGCCGCGAAATTGAAAAAACGAAATCGCAGAATGATAATGCTGGGACCTATTCAATTCACTACTTAGCTGTTGGGAAGACGCAGTTTCCGACAACATCAACGAGAAATGCGATCGGCCCATTCAACATCTTCACGTTAGCGCTATGAGAGCTAAGAGTTCTAAACTCACCAAGAGACGTTTGGTTTGTCACCACATACACTCGAGCAGATACGCCAGCGTGGAACCGCAGGGGCTGCAGGCAACCGCGAACTAACGTCGGGACTAGCAAATCAATACAGACAGGGGATAAAAGAAGATCTTAAAAAGAGAAGAGCAGCAGTAATGGTCGAAGCTACAGAGGATGGGAAGGGCATTCGCGAAGCCCAACGAAGCTTCGAGAATTATAGGACGAAGATGATTGCACTTCGGCGCTCAAACGGAACAGTTACAGCGTCCAGAAAGGCAATGGACAAAACCATTCACAAGTACTACTTAAATCTTTTCGATAGCCACATCCACCTTTCGTCATATGAAATAAAAAAGGATGGATATGTTGTACCACCAGATCTCACTTCCGAAATTCGATATGTCATTCCGTCCGTGAAAAATCGAACAGCACCAGGTTCGGACAGGATGAGACCATAACACCTGGAGAACCTTCCGCCAGTCCTCGTAAACACACTAGATCGGCTCTTCACACTTTACCAGTCTGAATCCAAGGTACATGATCAGTGGAAGACCAGCAGGTCCGTGTTGTTGTTCAAGAAGGGTGACCTATACGATACCGGCAACTATCGCCCAATCTGCTTGCTATCTGTCGTACACAAACTTTTCACTGGAGTCATCCTAAACGCCATTGACAGAAGGCTGGACGAAGGACAGCCATGTGAGCAAGCAGGGTTTCGAAAAGTATTTAGCATGATGAACTACATCCACACGAGAACAAGGCTCACTGAATTATTACGAGAGCACATAAGGCCGCTCTGTCTCACTTTCATCGATTTACAGAAGGCCTTTGATTCAAATGAGATACAAGCAGTCTTGGAAGACCGTGGTAGTCAGGGAGTCTCTATTCAGCACATAAAGATTCAACGTGAGCTGTGCAAAATTTTCGCAATATATTCAAAAAAAGCTTTCAGGAGTGTTGGTATATGCATATATGTAAACACTTGGGTATACACTAAAAAATAAAGGATAAAGCTCTTGTCGTTGATCGATCCCTTAGGGATGCGCCATGCATTCTCATCTATTAGGCATTGTTGAAGGTGACTGGATGCATATCTAGCTAGCGGTTGTCCGCCTATCTATCGATTCATTGTTACTATCCTCCCACACAAATCTGTTGCCAATTCGGGGATCTCGAAGGTATGGAAGACCTGATGAACTTTTGGCGAGGGATCGATCCCATGTGTATTGCAGTGAGCCTCCGACTTCTGCGTCACACTTGTGTATATATTAATAGTTTTTTGACAGGCTGATATTTTTAACATGAAGCAAAATTGAAGCCACGAGCGAAAAATGATTGCCAAATACATTTTTCTGAGGTGTTCGTACTAAATTACTACTGTTTTCAGAATTCAGAATTCAGATTTTCAGATTTTCAGAGTGTTCATGGCACACCGATAATTACGTACTTACCTAATAACTCAAGTAGTTAGATGGACCATCTTTATGTGAGCGCAACCTAACATGGTCGTCGAACATGATAGCGGTCCGATTTGAAAATAGTGATACCCTCATGGAAAATTTGGTGATGTATTAATCGTTTACATCTGCCAATGCGGAGACTTGACGTTGGTTACGAACATGTGGACGGAGATGGTCGCTGGAGAGGCCGCTTGTATGCACTCCACAGCTAGTTCTGCCTATCATACGTCTACTGCTCTCATTACATGATTAGTTTGTCTGTGCTTCGATATCGATGTATAGTCTCTTGTAGCTCGA